GAATTTTTTAGAAAAATGTTAACAAACGCACAAATTGTATCTAACCATCAACCTGCCCCAGTTTACTCAGCACCTGTTCAACAACAACCCACCCCAGGTAAAATCTTGACTCCAAGGTTTTTCCAAATACTTTCCAAAAACAAATTGACATAAATAGGAATTTTTGATTTTAATTAAAATATGCTGCAACCATTGGTGTTTCTAAACTTTTAACAAAATAGAAGTGGCAAGATCGAATCGAAAGCATAGCACTGAAAGTGAATTTTCAACATTATATGTCACGTCAACCAAACCAATCGTAAGTATTTTTACCATATTTTAACTATAGATGTCCGAGTATTAATAAAATATCATGATATCTTAATAGTTACTACTGACGAATGCTTCATTAACTATTAAAACGAATCTTAATACGAGTATCAACATGAGTAGCAAGTATCAAGATCGATTATGATACGGCGTATCACAACGAGTATCAAGTATCATGATACCGAAGTTAATACGCGCCATTTGCAATTTTGCATGGATTTTCGGAAACTCGGTATAGAGCATAAAAAGTGAAAAAAATACAATTTTTTTCTCAATTCTCAAACACAACTAAGTGGTCTACATCAACTGGTGTGATCAGGACGTAAAAATTTGTCATCTCTGTCACCCAAGTCGTGCTTGGTAAATCTTATTTTCATGCTGTCTCACTCACTCTTGTATGAATATTCACAATAGACACTCTATAAACACACAACAAAAATAAAAATCCATGCAAAATTTCAAATGGCGCGTATTAACTTCGGTATCATGATACTTGATACTCATTGTGATACGCCGTATCATAATCGATCTTGATACTTGCTACTCATGTTGATACTCGTATCATGATTGGTTTTAATATTTAATACCATCTTAATAGAATATCATTATGATACAAAATGTATTAAGATTCGGGTTTGGCACATCTATAATTTTAACTAGTTGAGCATCATCTCATATGCAGTGATTCATTACAGGAGGGAGATAAAATCATTGATTACTTCAATCAATTTGGTGAGGTGGGCGTTTCATGGTATTCGATAAATAATCTTCAATATGGCCGTGTGTTCCTGGACATGGATGATGATACCAAAGTGTCATTATTGCGAATGAATCACCGCATCGAAAATGTTGACCTAAAGGTAACAGAAGAAGATGTTCATTATCCAACCGACTATTCAAAAGAAGTCAAACAAGATGCACCCATTCTCAATATATTCAATGATAAATGTTTTCGAGAAGTGTTTAAATATCTAAACGATAAGGACCTTTGCAATGCTGCTAACGTGTGTGTTCATTTTAATAAACAAGCAAAGGCAGCGTTCCCACAGGAAAAAAAAAGATTTATCGGTGGAGATGCATATGAATGGGGGAGAGACGATAGTCTACTGCATAATTTTGGTTCATTAATTACATCACTGAGCATCGATTCTCAAACAGGTGCTCTGAAATCAGCCGTCCGATTCTGCACTTCTTTGAAGCACCTTGAAATTAGACGGATTGGAATCAAGGAAGATTGGATCAAAGAAATGTGTCCATTTTTTGCAAAGTTGGAATCAATTTCATTCGAAGAATGCTATCCTTTGGATAATATCAAAGAACTTATATCTGGTGCGTCGCAGTTAAAGCATCTACAAATTAGATCACGTGCTAAAGACATCGAATTTCCATCAAAAGTGTTTCGTTTAATTGGCGAACACATGCCATATTTGGAAAAATTAGACCTTGAACTAAAGGACATGTTTATAAATTCAAGCAACTATCAAACCGATATTCAGTATTTGAGCGATTTGAATTCTTTGAAGGTATTGAAAATCAAGTCTTCCCATTCTTTCGACATTGGCAGGTTAATCAAAGCATTTGTTGGGAACAAAACTCCACTCGAAAAATTGGTGTTGATGAATGCAAATATTGACGAAGATTGTATTGGCAGCATATGTCAAATAAAAAGTTTAATGGATATTCAGTTGGAAAATTACAATGAATACAAAACGGAGCACATGCTTAAGTTAGTTGAAGATATGCCACAGCTGCGTTCATTGGAAATATCCAATGGGTGCCGCGACTCACATCAATTCAAGAATATCGAATTTTTTAGAAAAATGTTAACAAACGCACAAATTGTATCTAACCAGTAAAGTTTACTGAGTGATCCTTTCAATGTGTTACAACCCGATTTTCGATTTTATGCATTTAATTTTGTTCATTATTTATTATTTGAGCAATTGTTATCCACTTGAAATTGTAATACATTTGACTTTATATTAAAGCCAATAGGACATTTGAATATCTGATCATAACAACATAGATGTGACCTGTAGTTTTTTTCTCGTTGTTTTCTTCTAATATTGATAAATTTTATTCAATCAAGGTTTCAGATTTTCAAAAGGCATTTAATTTATGCAAGATTTTAATTTTAAATAAATTGTTCTTTTTTTCAAAACTTAAAAAAGCCGTATATGTTTTTTATATTCTATGCTTTCATTCATCAAATAGTTCTTTATAAGATAAGAAAAAATGTAAATTGAGAAAAAAGGAAGATCTTTTTAAAAAAGAAAAACTTTCTTTATTAATTTGTCTCTATAAATCAAAATCACTATAAATTATGGAGTAAAATTCATCTCTTTGAGAATGTTGTCACAACGTTTACATATCGTTTCATCTGATGCAACAGCAAAGCGACGGCATCGATCGCATAATTTTTTATCGATTTCTGTTTTCTCAATATACAATTTTGAGCTTGGTGATTCTACCAATTGAATTGATTGCACTTGTAGAATTTCACATAAGTGCGAATCGTTGTGAGCTTGATCATCACTCGGATGCAGTTTCTGAAATAGAAAATATCTCTCATTAAAATGTCATGTCAAGTATTTCATTTAATTTAACCTGAAGCTGTTGAATTTGTTCAGCCGTGCCAAATATTTTCGTATCATAATACACTGAGTTTTTTACCGAATTATGCATTATCATTCCGAATAATTCTTTAACAATGTCCATTGTTACATCGAATTCCGAATTATGCCATTCACTTGGTACCGTGAATTGATGTTTGTAAAATGATTCGGTTTTCGAATAGTAGCTCCACACCTCTTCGACCAAATGCGGTATAATTGGCCATAGAACTTTGTTTAAAATGCAAAATTGGGCGAATAAAACGTGTGCCGTGTCTTTGGTCACTTGTGGTGGATTTATATACATTTTATCTTTTATACTGTTAATATAAAGTGCCGAAAATTCATT